TTGGACTTACTGGATAATGCAAACGATGAGTAATTGTAATTTCTTTGTTTTCTTAGCATTATGCGATTTTTCTTATCGCGACGTGTTATTTGTAACACTTAATTTTTCTGGTTTTATGTTTGTATCGCGCCAGGCGATCTATTTGTTTTGTTTCGGATAATTTCTTGGTATAAATAGATTTATTAGTAAAATGATTTTCCGGGAATTTTGCTTGTATTTCCCTGTAAATCGGAAGCGCTGTGTGAGCCACCTCTGTAAATGCACTTTCTCTTATTTTCTAAGTGCACGTTGTTAAACTTTTGACACAAAAGCGTGCACTTGCAGAATTTTACTGTATAAACATTGCCCAATCCTGGACGTAACAACGTACGTACGTACAGTCGAATAAAGCACGTGACAGTTCTTGTCCCTATGCTCCGGAATCGACTATGCTCGAAACAATTAAACCAAAAAAGTAAAGTAATGGAATTCATTGTCGCCTTAAAACGGGTTAGACTAATAATTATCATCAAATGAAAAAAAAAAGGAAATGACGCATTACGTAATTGTTTTTCAAAAATCTACCGATACGGACAATTCTAGACCTTTACACAGCGCTAAGCCTCCCCTTACTGTGAAAATTTTATTTTTTCGCTTGAATTTCATATGATAGAATAAGTAAGATTGAATGTAGTGAAAGCTTTAATGAAATTATAAAAAAAAAACAAAGAAATCGAATTAATAAAATTTACAAATTCGTGTTTCAATTAACTCGAATAAAATCCTTCTTTTACTATCGCCCAAACCGAACACCTTGAGTAAAGCCGTCCTATTTTCTGCCGCTTCTTACGAACATAGTACGCAAAGAAAAGTGCCAAACCTAAGTGCATATTGATCCGTTAAATACTATCGGTATGATGGCGAATGACAATGATTTTATTATTTGCTCATGATATTTATTAAAAAAAAAAACAGTGAAATATTAACTGGCATTCAATTTGCAGAAATAATTTTCACATTAATTTCTAACGTATAATAATAACAACACATTATGGTAAATGCTAACGAATGGTTAAATGAAAATATTCCAAAGAATCAAAGAGCACAAACAACAGGACTTTATATCTACAGTCAATATCGAGGTGGTTATAATATAAACCAAGGCCCTCCAAATTATCAATTCTATAATACTACTTTAGAAGGAGAATTAGATCTTAATGACTTTGTTAATTTGCAGCAACTAAATATCGGCAGTGTTGGGCAGGATCAGGACCAGCAACAAAAGATAACTCATTTAAAGATCGATAAATGTAATAATTTATTTCATTTACTATTACAAAATGCTTTAGGCATAGACTAAAATCACACTTAAAACAGATTAATCAGTTTCTTAAGATAAACTCGATCATTTTATAAAAACTGCACTGGAATTCCGTTATCTCTTTTTCTATAAATAATAATGAAAGTGATTTCTTTATTTTCATATTTTGAAGAGATGAACGCACACTTGATATTTCTCAAATCTTAGAGACATGAAACAGAACCAAAATGTCTCTATTAAAAATGTCTCCTTTTTCATTTAGTTATCATCTTATTCATTTTGTTATTTGTCTTTCTATTCTCATATTTTGTTATCTTTGGTGACATTTTTCATACAATTTTTTAAAATTAAAATTGAATAATCTTTACAAAATTTAAAACGCTTGCATAAGTATCAAACACATATTTTAGATAGGATTACAAACTTTTATTGGTCATATAATGATTTAAAAGTGTCCGATTCTATATAAAAAAAAGCTGACTTGTATTTAAATTTTGAATGCATTATCGCATCCATCGAAGCAAGAAAATTACTTTCCAAGTAAAAATTCATAATTTGATAGAAACTGACTGCTATGAACTTTATTAGTATTTAAAACTCATTAGTAAACAATCATTATAAATTAAAACCGAATAGTATGCGCTGTAAACTTCATTAGCGTGATTGGATTATTTGGTTCTCACGGCTGAAACACAGCCTAAAATGAAGGCTACTCGAAAGAAATTTGATCTGAAAATCAAGGATTCTACTGCCACTAGGATTCCTGAGGTTATTTAGATGGTCTTTATCCAATATAACCCTTTCTCACTTTTTAGTCACATGAAGTCGATGAGTCTTCATACGCTATGGATCGCAATGGAGTTTTGCTATTATTATTGAAATCTCCAAGCAACATGACTAATTAAAGTATTGGGGTCTTTGCCTTGAAAATGACCTTACGGTACATGATACCGTAGGGTCATTTTCAAGGCAATGACCCCTATTGCTAACAATGAGTAATTTATACTCAATTATTCTGCTGTGACCACAGTTTCCCACCATTTGAATTTCAGAGGCGCCACTATTGCTCTTAACGGAGCTTCGCCTCGAGTCAAATCCGAATTGGCATTTAGTGAATGCTTTTTCTCATGTCAATCAATGTGTAATATATCGTTAGAAATGATCTGAGCTCATACTAAATTTACATTATTGAAATGAGATTAAAATGAAAGTGTAGAGCTATAATAAAAGCTACGAACTAGAATATCTTATTTTGTACAAAAATCGATTGGAAGGTACAACAAAGACTATGAGGTTATATTTAAAATATATCAATTCCTATATTTTTAGCAGATTTTAATTTTTTTTCTTTTCCTTATTAGAATTACCTATGCTTTTATCGTAACAAAATTCAATATAATATCGTTCATCAAAATTGGTGCCCTCAGTAAATTCAATGAATAAATAATTCTTAATAGAACTTATACCATATTACCGTATTACCGCGAAATAACGATCATGGGCGTTATTTTGAAAATCGCATCCCCTAAAAATTGCATAATGGGTTTC